ATGGTACTCAACGATTCTGTGTAGTTCCAAACAAGATGGCATTAGCATAGTAGGAGGGCAGCGTGTGGGCTCCTCAGATCATCTACTCTGTTCGTTTTTACATATTTTTTCTTTCTCTTTTTAATGTTTCCAATTAGTATAGTTAATATTAAAACATTTAAAATTCATTTTGCCTTCATTTAACGGCTTATCCAGCGACGGGTGGCTTCCGGCGGTCTGGTGTGGCAGTCATTTTCCCGGGTGGTGGTCTCGGCCCTGCGAGTGGTCGCCTGGCGTAGTGGTTTTGGTGTTGAGGTTTGTGGGCGGTCTGGCTTAATCTTCAGTGAACGCTCCTGGCCCAGTGTTCCGATGGCCTGGTGTGGCATCTTTGTCCAGGTTGGCGGTCTTTTTGTCTTGTTCCTGGCAACGTTTTCTTCGGCAGATACTTTTGGCTTGGTGTTCCGATGGCCCAGTGTGGCATTTTTTTGTCCAGGGTGGCAGTCTTGTCCTGGCGGCAGTTTTCTTCAGCAGAGGCTTTCAGCCCAGTTTTTCCAGTGACCTAGCGTATTGGTTTCGTCCCTTCTTCTGAAGCCAGGAGCTGCCAAATGGACTGTGATGAACTTTTGTCTTAAATTTGTCTTTTATTGTTACTTATGAATTTACATGTGACTTCTGTCATTAATACAGGTGCCATGGTATGGCGACTTATAACACTTCTCATTGTATTTTTTCTTGTATAAGTACATATGACAATAAATTCTAAATTCTGAAAAATTCCAGAAGTTCTAGATTATCAGAACGTCAACACCGTGACTTAATCAGACTCCGACCCAATTCCAAGGCTGGTGGACTGAAAAAGTTGGACAAGCCACTTATATCACCAAGTTGGACTTACTTCGTGATTACTGGCAAGTACCTTTTGTCAGAGAAAGCAAAAGAAGTTTCTGCGTTTGTAACCCCAAATGGGCTATATCAATTTGAAGTAATGCCCTTTCAAATGAAGAATGCACCAGCCACTTTTCAAAGACGTATGAACTGAGTTGTGGCAGGATTGACTATTTGTGCCATCTATGTAGATGAGTTAGTGATCTTCAGCCATTTGTGAACAGATCACATGGTGCATTTAGCAGAGCTCTTTGAAAGACTACGGGAGGCAAAGTTGGTTATAAATTTGGCAAAGACAGAATTCACCCAGGTGGAAATGCCGTTTCTAGGGCAAAACATTGGACAGGGACAGATGACACCAAGGAACGTGAAGACAAAGGCTATCGAGGAATTTCCTGGACCATCCTCGAAGAAAGAGCTGCTGTGAGTTTTGGGACTGAGCAGATTCTACAGGAAGTTTGTACCAAACGTGTGGTGGCACTACTGACGGATTTGTTAAAGAAGAACACAAACTTCCAGTGAACAGACCAATGCCAGGAGGCATTTAAGAATTTAAAAGTAGTGTTAACCACTGCACCAGTTTTAGCCATGCCAAATTTCTTGAAACCCTTTAAAGTCGCCATCGACGCCAGCAATGTAGGGGTTGGAGTTGTGTTGTGACAGGAGGATGATTGGCCTTTCAGTTCCACAATCAGTTATTTTTCAAACACACTCCATATTCACCAGAGAAAATATTCGACCATTGAAAAAGAGTTAGTGAGTTTAGTACTGGCCTTACAACATTTTAATGTTTTTGATGCAAACAACGTATCAGAGACGGTTGCATACACTGATCACAACTCTTTGACATTTCTGGAAAGATTTAAAGACAAGAACACCAGACTATTTCATTGGAGTCTTGTGTTACAAGCATTTAATTTACAGATTGTACATGTTGAGGGTCGTGTAAATGTTATTGCGGATGCATTATCGCAGGATTAAAAGGAAAATGTTTATACAAGATAGAAACTGTAATGTTCAATGTCATATATGTAAAAAGAATTAGTATGAAATGTGTAACTCTAGATTAATGACCTATGTATCTAGTAACAATGGTGTTAAGATTTAGAGGGGAAAAAAGCCATCTTCTCATCATGATGTTTCACTTTTTTTTAAGGGACGAGGTGTTGTGAAGTTAGGTGGAGTACTTGTGGATTGGAAGGCAGGATGTTAGAATTTGTTTGTAAAATGATGGGGGGGATATATGTGTGGTCCCTTGAAAAAATGTTTTTTAAGTGCCGGTGCACAGAGAGCTCCTAAAATTGAAACATTGTATCAAAAGGCCATGTATTTAACAACCCAGGCAGCAGTTTGTTTTGTTGGTAAGGCAACCAATTTGAAAATCAGCCAATTAATTTAAACCAGACACTTACTAACTAAAAAAAAATTAAATTTAAATCTGATGGTTTTGACAACCTAGGACCAATTCTATTGTAAGAAATTAATAGGTCATCATCAAGGGTATAAAAAAAGAGAGCATTTGAATATCGGTGTGAGAGCAACTGCCATTTGTTAAGTTAACAACCAGCAGCTCTAAAGAGAAGATCACTGATTCTCACAGAATTCTCTAAGATCTCAGAGTAACCATCATCTAACTAAAGGTACAGCGGCACGCTTTGCTAATATTCTTCACACAAGAATTCAACAGAGAAAGGTGTTCCTGACTGAAGATCAGCGAAGAGGGCATGAAGCATTTTGGAAGACGTACACTGGCTGTAATTACAAGACTAAGTCTTAATTTTTTTTATTATCTTCGTTTATATAGGTGGAACTTGTATTTATTAGAGTAGCATTCCATTAGTTTTTTGTCATATTTGGGAATAGTTAGTAGTTAAGAGGGAATTGTTCAGTTTGTTAGGAGTTCTGTTAATTTTTTCATTGTTAGAGATAGATAAATAAATTGTTACTTGTTGATTATAGCATGACTGTCAGGAGTTCATTTAATTTAACCTCCCCTTTATAGCAGATTGGGCGGAGAGAGGCAGGTTATAGCACTTTTCAAACTTCCTTTAACAGATTATGAGATGAGCAAGCTTCTCTAGGTGTTTCGGTTTTAGTTATTCATAGGGTTGGGTGGGGGGGTTGACCTCTGATTCGTAACAGATCTATCCCAGAATGCTGAGGGAGGCAGGTTGGACCTAGTATGAAATCATTGTATCCTTTTTAGTCACAAGATAGATCCCACGGGACTAGACAATAGCCAACATTGTTCTTTTATTAAAGAAGGACAACAGAGATAATCTGGGAAATCACAGACCGGTGAGCCTTATATCAGTAGTAGGGAAATTATTAGAGAAGATTCATAGGTATACAATTTGTTCACATTTGGAAAATTTTGACTTCATGGCAACAAGCAACATCACTTTATGTGGGGAAGGTCCTGTCTCTCAAACCTGATTGAGTCTTTTGAGGAAGTGACAGTGATAATTGAGGGCAGGATGGTAGATGTTGGCTAGATGGACTTTAGGAAGGCCTTTGACAAAGTCCCTTATGACAGACTGATACAAAAGGTGAACTCTCATGGAATCCGCGGTCAGCTTGTAAGATGCATACAGCACTGGCTTCGTCATAGAAGACAGAGAGTAATGGTGGAAGGGTGTTTTTCTGACTGGAGATCTGTGACTGGTAGTGTTCCATGGTGATAAGTGCTGGGACTCCTGTGGTTTGTAACATGTATAAATGATATGTAGGTGGCCTGATTATTAATTTTATGGGTGACACAAAGATTGGCGGAGCTGCAGATACGGGCAGAGGAATTTTAATCTGGACAAATGTAGTACATTTTGGAAGATGTAATGTAAGAGGGAAGTATACAGTGAATAGCAGAACCCTTAGTCGCATCAACAACCGGAAGGATCTAGGTGTATAAGTCACAGTTACCTGAAAGTGGCAATGCACGTGGATAAGATTGCACAGCGGCTCAGTGGTTAACACTGCTGCCTTACATCACCAGGGACCCGGATTCGATTCCACCCTGTGTGGAGATTGCACATTCTCCCTGTGTCTGCGGGGGTTTTCACTAGGTGTTCTGGTTTGCTCCCACAGTCCAAAGATGTGCAGACTAGTGGATTGGCCATTCTAAATTATCCATAGTGTTCAGGGATGTGTAGATTAGGTGTGTTAGCCATGGGAAATGCAGGGTTACCGGGAGGGGGTGGGTCTGGATTGGGTGCTGTTTGGAGGGTCGGTGTGGACTGGTTGGGCCAAAGGGCCTGTTTCGACACTGTAGCGATTCTATGAACATGCAAACTTCACACAGACAGTCGCCTGAGGCTGGAATCGAACCCGGGTCCCTGGCGCTGTGAGGCAACAGTCCTAACCACTGAGCCACTGTGCTGCCTGTAGTTCAGCTACATTGGGAATATGGCATATGGTTCTGTTTGCCACACTGCTGGAACAGTGTTTAGGTACAGAAATGGTTTACCAGGATGTTGCCTTGTTCAAAGGGTATTAGCTACAAGGAGAGGTGGGACAAACTTGGTTAATTTTCATTTGAATGTTGAAGAGTGAGGGGTGACCCGATAGAAGGTTATAAAAGTATGAGAGGTATGGACAGTCAGGAGTCTTTTTCCCAGGATAGAAATGTTAATTACTTGGAGACATGGGTTTAAGGTAAAAGGAGTTAAGTTTAATGGAGGTGAGAGAGGCAGGTATTTTACACAGAAGATGGTGAGTACCTGGAATGCGCTACCAGAGGAGTTGGGGGAGGTGAGCACAATAGCAACATTTAAGGGGACATGAATAGACAAGGAATAGAAGGGTACAGACCACAGAGGCAAAAAGCATCAGAAAAGTTTAGAAAAGCATCAGATGTCGGCGCAGTCTTGCTGATGGACCTGCTCCTGTGCTGGACTGTTCTTTGTTCTCTTTGCACACCGCTATTGTTTAAGTTAGCAGGTAGTGTGTTGCTTACCTGATGAAGGAACAACACAATTCCGAGCTCTTTGTCAAATGTGTGTGTATATTTTGGCTCCTTTTAATTTTCCATCAATTTAATTAACTCAAATTTGAAACTCTGGGCAGCAATCCCTCAACCAGTAAGAGTCTTTAAATATTTTATTGATACATTGTTTAATTCTTAAATGTGTCTTTTACAGGGAAAGGCAGAAACGAGAAGCAGAATGCATTCGACAGGTAACAAATAATTTGTTGCTTCATTTTAGAGATAGTAGGAACTGCAGATGCTGGAGAATCTGAGATAACAAGGTGTAGACTGGATGACACAGCAGGCCAAGCAGCATCAGAGGAGCAGGAAAGCTGACATTTCAGGCCTAGACCCTTACGGCAATGAGAAATGAGAGTGACCTGAGAGTCTACTTTTCACAGCAAACCTCTTTTCTAAATTTCACCCTCAGATCTGCCACAACTACACATCTTGACAGCAATACTTTGAAATTAGAAACCCGGTTTCCAATGGAAACAGTTACCAGAACCCTAAACATAACTAAAGGCCAATAAACTATTTTAATTTTCTTTGAAAACACACAGTCAATCAGGTCAGGTTGGCCAGTTGTCAAAATCTTTATTGCTCCAATTAGCAGAAGATTCTGTTACTAGTCAAACTACACACAGAGATTGGCGCTTGCTTCTAAATTTCTTCCAAAGTTGCGCATGAAAGTCTGGCAGAGCAACACAGTTCCACTGCATTTATTTCCCCAGCTGTAAAAAAGATCTGTTTAAGTCAGTAAAACCTTTCTGAAGAAGGGTCTAGGCCCGAAACGTCAGCTTTCCTGCTCCTCTAATGCTGCTTGTCCTGCTGTGTTCATCCAGCTCTACATCTTGTTATCTCTGTTGCTTCATTTTCCCTGGCCAGTTGCAAAAAATCTCATTCATTATTTTTTTCAGACCATTTGACACACGAACTTTGGGAACCGTCACGTTATGTTTCTTTATCCTGCTCTCTTTATTTTAATTGAATGTATTCTGCAAAATGACTTTTGCTAAAATTCTAGATGACATGTCATCAAAGATAAATTATGGGACTACATATTCATTTTAAAAGAATTAATGGCCTTTCTCTCACGCTGTCATAATTAACTTCTTTCCAAAAGAAGTTTGGTTTTTTTTAACTCTGAAAGGCTTGTGTCCTTTCATGCTTAGGACTAAAAATGAAAATATGACTTGTACCTTAGCATGTAGCTTCCACTCGTGTTCATGGATTTTAAACAGATTTAGAAACTGTAAAGCATGTGGTTTGAAGAAAAAAAACATTAAGTACTGGAATGGAAGAGGTTGCTGCAGCAATAGAATGGCCTCCTTTGTTTGCCAGTCTAATTGCAAAGGTTTTTTAAATTAATAATTTATACTTCTGTACTGATGTTGGGATTATATACAAACTAAAATTTCCCAGATTTGGTGGTCAAGGTTTTCAACTATATGTTTCTACTTTAATCTATTTGTTTTCTGCTTTTCAAGCACCACTAGATATATATTTATATATAAGATATATATTTTGTCATGTTTAAAAACAGCTGCAATTAAAGTAGCGCTTCTGTTTACTTGAGTATTGGTTACAGTCATTGGTTTTTTTCATTCACTTCATTCATGGGCTATAGATGCTGCTGATTGGATCAACATTTATTGTACTTCCCTACATGTCCTTAAAGATGTTGGTGAATTAGCCACTTGAAATAAGAACATAAGAACTAGGAACAGGAGTAGGCCATCTGGCCCCTCGAGCCTGCCCCGCCATTCAACAAGATCATGGCTGATCTTTTTGAGACTCAGCTCCACTTACCCGCCCACTCGCCGTAACCCTTAAATTCTTTACTGTTCAAAAATTTATCTAGCCTTGCCTTAAAAACATTCAGTGAGGTAGCTTCAACCGCTTCACTGGGCAGGGAGTTCCACAGATTCACAACCCTTTGGGTGAAGAAGTTCCTCCTGACCTCAGTCCTACATCTGCTTCCCTTTATTTTGAGGCAATGCCCTCTAGTCCTAGTTTCACCTGCTAGCGGAAACAACCTCCCTGCCTCCACTTTATCTATTCCCTTCATAATTTTATATGTTTCTATAAGATCTTCCCTCATTCTTCTGAATTCCAATGAGTATAATCCCAGTCTACTCAGTCTCTCCTCATAATCCAACCGTCTCAACTCTGGAATCAACCGAGTGAATCTCCTCTGCACCCCCTCCAGTGCTAGTATATCTCTTCTCAAGTAAGGAGACCAAAACTGCACACAGTACTCCAGGTGTGGCCTCACCAGGACCCTATACAGCTGCAGCACAGCCTCCCTGTTTTTAAATTCCATCCCTCGAGCAATGGCAGACAAAATTCCATTTTCCTTTTTAATTACCTGCTGCATCTGCAATCCCACCTTCAGTGATTCATGCACAAGGACACCCAAGTCCCCCTGCACAGCAGTGTGCTGCAATTTTTTACCATGTAAAACATAATCCATTTTGCTGTTATTCCTACCAAAATGGATGACTTCACACTCATCAACATTGTACTCCATCTGCCAGACCTTTGCCCACTCACTTAGACTATCTATATCCCTCTGCAGACTTTCAGTGTCTTCTGCACACTTTGCTCCACCACTCACCTTAGTGTCATCTGCAAATTTTGACATACCACAGTTAGTCCCCAACTCCAAATCATCTATGTAAATTGTAAACAATTTAGGTCCCGACACTGATCCCTGAGGCATACCACTAGGCACTGACCGCCAACCAGAAAAACACCCATTTACCCCTACTCTTTGCTTTCTACTGGTCAACCAATCCTCTATCCATGCTAATACATTACCTGTAATACCGTGCAACTTTATCTTATGTAGCAGCCTTTGGTGTGGCACCTTGTCAAATGCCTTCTGGAAATCCAGATACACCACATCTACAGGTTCCCCATTGTCCACCATGCAAGTAATGTCCTCAAAGAATTCCACCAAATTAGTTAAACATGACCTACCCTTCATGAACCCATGCTGGGTGTTCCCAATGGGACAATTTTTATCCGGATGTCTTGCTATTTCTTCCTTAATGATAGATTCAAGCATTTTCCCCACTACCGAAGTTAAGCTAACTGGCCTATAGTTACCTGCTTTTTGCCTACTTCCTTTTTAAAACAGTGGCATCACATTGGCTGTTTTCCAATCTGCAGGAACCACCCCAGAATCCAGTGAATTTTGGTAAATAATTACTAGTGCATTTGCTATTTCCCCCATCACCTCTTTTAGTACCCTGGGATCCATTTCATCAGGGCCAGGAGACTTGTCTACCTTTAGCCCCATTAGCTTGCCCAGCACTGCCTCCTTAGTGATAATGATAGTTTCTAGGTCCTCACCTGCTATAACCTTCTTGCCATTAGTTTTCGGTATGTTATTTGTGTCTTCCACTGTGAAGACCGACACGAAATAACTGTTTAGTGTCTCGGCTATTTCCTCATTCCCAGTTATTAAATTGGCCTTCTCATCCTCTAAAGGACCAATGTTTACCTTCGCCACTCTTTTACGATTTACATATTTATAGAAACTTTTGCTGCCTGTTTTATATTCTGAGCTAGCTTACTCTCATAATCTATCGTACTTTTTTTTATAACTTTTTTTGTGGCTTTCTGTTGGCCCTTAAAGATTTCCCAGTCTACTAGTTTCCCACTACTCTTTGCTTTTTTGTATGTTTTTTTCAATCTGATACTTTCCTTTATTTCCTTAGACATCCATGGCTGGCTCTCTCTTTTCCTACAGTTCTTCCTTATCACTGGAATATACTTCTGCTGAGCACTGTGAAAAATTGTTTTGGAAGTCCTCCACTGTTCCTCAATTGACCGACCATAAAGTTTTTGCTCCCATTCTACCTTAGCTAACTCCTTCCTCATTCCTTCATAGTCTCCTTTGTTTAAGCACAGGACATAGGTACTGGATTTAACTTTCTCACGCTCCATCTGTATTTTAAATTCGACCATACTGTGATCGCTCCTTCCGAGAGGATCCCTAACTGTGAGATCATTAATTATTCCTGTCTCATTACACAGGACTAGATCTAGGATGGCTTGCTCCCTCATAGGTTCCATTACATATTGTTCAAGGAAATTATCGTGGATGCATTCTATGAACCCCTCCTCAAGGCTGCCATGACCGACCTGGTTTGACCAATCGATATTTAGATTAAAATCCCCCATGATAATTGCTGTACCATTTTTACATGCATTAGCTATTTCTATGTTTATTGCCCGCCCCACCACGATGTCATTATTTGGTGGCCTACAGACCACGCCTATCAGTGACTTCTTCTCCCTGCTATTCCTAATTTCCACCCAAATGGATTCAACGTTTTGTTCAGTAGAACCTATATCATCTCTCACTACCGCCCTGATATCATCCTTAAAAATCAGAGCAACACCACATCCCTTACCTTCCTGTCTGTTCTTCCGAACCGTTTGATACCCCTGGATATTTAACTCCCATCATGACCATCCTGTAACCATGTCTCTGTAATGGCCACTAAATCATACCCATTTGCCATGATTTGCACCGTCAACTCATCCACCTTGTTTCGAATGCTCCAAGCGTTCAGATAAAGTGCCCTTATGCCAGTTTTTACACCTTCTTTATGGGTCCTATTACCTCCATTACTAACAGCTCTTGAGTTCTCCTTCCCTTTAACTTTTTTCCTAATTTTCAATGGAGTTGAAGTTTCCTTGTCACCTGCTAACCTGCTGCTTTGCCTCACATTAATTGTTATTCTCCCTCTACGCTCACTTTTCCCTTCCCCTCCTACTTACTAGTTTAAAGTCCTATTAACCACCCTATTTACCCTTTTCGCCAGAACACTGGACACGGCCCTGTTCAGGTGGAGTCCATCCTAGCGATATAGATCCCTCCTGTCCCAGAACTGATGCCAGTGCCCCATGAAAAGGAAAGCCTCTTTCCCACACCACTCTTTTAGCCACGTGTTTACTTCCCTGATCCTCGCCTCCTTATGCCAATTTGCACGTGGCTTGGGCAGCAATCCAGAGATTATGACCCTTGAAGACAGAGGGTGGTGGTTGATGGGAAATGTTCATCCTGGAGTTCAGTTACTAGTGGTGTACCTCAAGGATCTGTTTTGGGGCCACTGCTGTTTGTCATTTTTATAAATGACCTGGATGAGGGCGTAGAAGGATGGGTTAGTAAATTTGCGGATGACACCAAAGT